GCCCGGGATAGCGGCTCCTCCAGACCGCGGGCATGCGGAGAAGGCTCCTGCTCCCGCAGCCGGGGTGGGTGGAGCATGCTGTCACTTTTTGGTGCTGGGCAAGCCCGGCATCGCTGTCGCAGGATTGCTGCCTGTGCAATGAGTCAGGAGCAGCGCTGCCACGTTTTCCTCCTACAGGCAGCGTCCCGTGGCGGGTCGGTCGTGCTCCGCACCGGGACGCGCCCGCACACGCGGTGCTGCCGCTTCAGCTCCGACGCCACGTGGGTGGGTGAATCTCCGGCAGCGACTCTCCGGGGAAACCCCTCTACTTGGAAGGATGAGGACACCGACCTGCAGCTCGGACGAGATGTGGAGCGCCTGGCTCAGGCAGCGATCCCACGGGACACGGGCATATTCCTGTGCCTGCGTCCCACCTCCTCTGCCAGACAATGAAACACTGCCCTCCTTCCCAAGTCGCAGCAGAACAAATAAAGCAAGCGCCATATGGTGCCAAGACACGTTGGAAATGGGGCCAAGCCCAGGAGGTAGGGGAGGTGGCAAGGCTCCATCCCCACACCAGTCCCCGTCGCCAGCTCCAAGGCAGGGCTGTCCTTGGGGGAGCCCTGTGCCCACTCCTCCTCCTTCCCCCTGCAGCCACTGCCCCGCTGCCAGGCTCAGCTCTGCATTTCAGCTTTGCCTGCAGTCCTGGGGGAGCTCAGAAACCAAAGCCGTCCCCGAGAGCACTTTTCCCTTTAAGGGCTGGCCAGGGGACACAGGTGTCACTGCTGGCCTGACACTGCTGTCAGGAGATAATGCCCTGCACCCTGCCACAGGGCACTCTGCTATCTCTCCCCCAGAATTACCAACAGGAGTGGGGACCACAGACAGCTTGTCCCCACAGGGGCTGGAGGAGAAGCCTCCCACCTGCTCCAGGCTGCCACAGAGACCCCACTGCAAGAAGAAAGTGGCACCATCTCTCTGCCTGTCACAGCAACCCTCCTGCCTGGATCCTCCCACAGCCCTGCAGCTCCTGGATACCCGGTGTGTTTTCAGGCGAGTCACCTCCAAGCACAGGCACCCAGCACTGAGGCATCTCCCAGGAGGTTTGGGCACCCTATGGCAGGGCTTCCAGAGGTGCTGAGTGCCTGCAATTCCCTGCAGCCTGCTCTGTGGAGCAGAGCACCTCCCTCTGAAAACCCAGCCTGCCCTGGCTGCCCAAGGCCTGACTCAGGAGAGCAGATCCCAGAGCTTCCTTGGGGCAGGATATGATGAGCTCCTGGGGGAAGAGGGGGACTCCAGGAGCCCTTGACACTCTAACAGACCTTCTGCATGTGTGGCAAGCAGATGCCAGCCTTGTCTGTGCCTGGGAGCAGGTCACAGGGCTCATGTGGCACCTACCCAGCTGCCACCCTCATTCACCCCATTCCCTCTACAAGGGCCTCCAAAAGTGAAGCACCTGGTCCTGTCCTCCAGGTTGAATCAAAGTCAGGTTCTCTTTTGTGTTTGAGGTTTTGTAGCCACAGGGCTCAATTCTCTCACTGCAAATGTGAGCAGATCATTTGCACCTGAGTCACAGAGATGAGAATCAAGTAAGTTGTGCAAGCAAAGGACTTTGTTGAATCATACACAAAAATGTTGGGATGATAAGGATCAGACAGGACCCAGGAGTAGCCCTCAGATCTCTCCATCTCTGTGCCACCCTCCTTCCTACTTTAAAGAGGCAGCACTGACTGATGGAGTGTCTCACAATCTGGCTCCATCCCTACCTATCCATGCTCCCATGATCTGGCTCCATCTTCTCTACCTTAACTATGGATCCTCTGGGAATGCTCCACACCAATGAGTGGTTGACAGCTGCTCTGCAGATCCAAAGCACTGTGTGAAAATTATATTATTTATTGACAATGTTACAGGTAATGAGAAAAGCAAGAGGCAGCCTTGTCCTGCACAGCCTACCTGGATCCCTGCAGAGTTAAAGTGAGCGTGGCAGAGGGTCCCAGCTGTGGGGCTGTTTGCTGACCAGTGCCTGTGGAGGTCTGCCCTCATCCTGGTCCCAGCTCCACTTGGGCTTCTTACCCACCACGTGTTGATAAACAGAAAAAAAATGTACAATGGTTGCATTGAGGTTCTCAGTTAAACAGAACAGCAGTGGCTGCTCAGAAGGGGAACTTCTGCATTATCTTTTGCTCTGTTAATTCAGAGGTGGGACTTGCTGAAACAGGAACAATCCACAGGGCAAGGTCTGGATTTTTGAGCACCCCTGGTGTGAGATCTCGGGCAGGGTTAAATGCCAGCAGGCAGAAAAACAGCAGCAACCCCAGGAACAAAAGGGACACGGGTATTTGACTCCTAGGAGTAGGGGAAGGAGTTACTGGGAGAAGTGGGGCTGGGCCATGCCATGTTCCAGCACATGCAAGGCAAGGCCAGGGATCCCAGGTGGATCACAGGTACTGAGTGACAATGGGCTCCACCAGAGGCCAGGGATCCTGCCTGGATCACTGGGGAACAACTGGCAGCAGGCTCTGCAGGAGGCTGGGGCTGCAGCTCTGGCACCACAGCCACACACAGGGCAGTGCCCAGCTGCTGCAGGGTGGGGACAGCTGAACCCAGCAGGTCACGGAGCTGCAGGCAGCACAGCACAGGCAGGGAGAGCAGGGGGGAAGCCCAGGCAGGGAGCACAAGCAGGGAACAGAGGCAGGGGTGTGCAGGCAGGGAACACAGGCAGCAGTGCCAGCAGCAGCCAGCCTAGGGGAGCACCAGGGAGAGCCCTGGGCACACGCTGTGACCCAGGACCCTGCTGCTCCCCAAGCCCCTGATGGTGTGACAGCCCCAGGGGTCTGCAGCCCGGTTTGTGCTGAGCTGGCAGGGTCCTGCTCAGCAGCAGCAGCAGCCAGGTGGGATCCTGTGCCTGGAGGAGGCACGGCAGGATGAGCCCAGAGCAATCTGTTCGGCTCCAAGTGGGTGGTAAATGAGCGGCGATGGAAGAACCACTCCCCGGTAGCTCCAAAGTGGGGCGGCAGCGCCGAGCCGAGCTCTAACGAGCCTGGGGAAGGCTGGAGCCCTCCGTGCCATTTCATCTCTGCTGCTCTGCGTCGGATTTCCCAGGAGCCCTGCAGCCTCGGCCACATTAATTATGCAAATGAAAAGGTGATGCCAACTCACCGCTCCTCGGCAGGGTCCCTGCGAGGGAAGTTGGGCCCGAGCAGCGGCCGCTGCCCTGGCTGGGGCAGGGAGGGTCCGGGAGCACACCAGGCACGATGGATGTTTGCAATAATTATCCAGTCATCCCCTTCAAGTGTACTGCAGCCATAGCAACAGACAGATGTTCTGTCCCAGCCAGAGTCCGCAGCGAGCTGGGGAGGGAAGCACTAAAATTAACCCGTTCAGCCCTAGGATGGCACAGAATCCACTTGATCCAGGGACCATCCCACACCTGGGACATCCCTGAGGAAATCAGGCAAAAACCCAATCACACAGTCTCCAAATTAATCCAGGAGAATTTGCCCCAGTGCTGCCTGACACAGAAAGTTGGATGAGAATCAGCAGCATCCCGTGGGATGGGGAATGGCTCTGGGAGGGCTCTGCTGTCTCCTGTCCCACATGGAGGTAGCCTGGCTGAAGCTCATCATCTCCTGGGGGTGATGCTGCTGCAGGTGAGGCTTTTCAGCTCTGCTGGTATCCAGCCTTTGGAGAGGGATGGATGGCACCAGGAGCTTGCTCAAGGACAGGCACAGCAGCTCTGCCATCAACAGCCACACAGTGCCCTCAGCACAGACCCTGCTGGGCACCCAGCTAGGCAGGAGGATGGATGAGCCACATGGACCAGTGCCCACTCCTGAGTTAACAGCTGGGTCAAAGCCTTTGAAGCATTCAGAGGTGGGATGCAGCCAGACTGAGGAATAGCTGGCATTTCTTTATCCTGCTACTCTACCAGCTCCCAGGGTTCAGCCTGAGTCCATTAAATCTCACCCAGAAATGTCACCACAGTGTCCCCCAACACACCAAAAATGTAAACCCAGCTTTTCCAGCACTCTCCAGGCACAAGGTGTCTTCTCCACCTGCCAGAAATTCCTTCCAGCATTGGCATTCAAGTGTTGTAAGGTAAAGGCCAGACCCCCACGGGTAGGTGTTCCAGAAGGATCAGAGCTGCCCACCCCAGGTTTCCCCTCCTGTGCCAGCTGTGCCCAGGGGTCCTGCAGAAGCAGCAGGGATTCCTCAGAAAGCACAGCAATGCCCTGATTTCAGAGCAGGCTCATTGGAAAGCCCCATCCAGATGTTTGCAGCTGCAGATGCTGCTGGAGTGCACCCACGGTGAGGATTTCAAAGGAGGGAGAAGGGGCTGGGTAGGACAGCCTGAGCAGATGTGCCTGGAGTAACAGATCACACCTGGAAAAATGGACAGGACCCTGCTCTGGGCTGGTGGAGGATGACAGACCCCCCAGCACAGAATCAGAGAATCAAGGAACCACAGAGCTGCAAAGGACAGAAAAGACCTCTAAGATCATCGAGTCCAACTGCTAACCCAACACAGCTGTGAGAGGTCACAGGAACACTCTTACTTCTTAAACTGTTAGACTATTTTTGGTTCAAATTCCTTCCCCCTTGTCCTCTGCCATGCAGACAATGAGATCTCCAGCTTGCTGAGGGCACCCCAGCTCCTCCTGGCTGCTCCCAGTGCCTGCTGACAGCTTGTGCCGCCTTAGCACAGCCCAGCCTGCAAATCTGTGGTCTCCTGGTTGGGTTTTTTTTTTTTTTCCCTTCTTTCTCCTGAAGAGAAAAAGCAGGGAAGGGTGAATTTGCTGGTCTTGAAACCGAGGGAGACGTGGCATCATGTGCAGTCACAGAGGATGTGGGCAGGTGCCATCAGCCTTCCCCACGCAGCTCTGGGAATGGAGCTCAGCCCTGCTCTGCAGCTCCCTGGCTGTTCCTGCCCAGGCTCCCACACAGCTCTGGCAGCTGCTGGGTATTTCAGTTCTTCCCCACGGCGCCAGGCTACCCCACTCCTTCTGTGGCTCTTCCCCCAAGCACATCAATCCAGTGGCCACGTGCTTGGATTCCCAGCCTGCTGAAGGCACGCTGGAGACTCAATAAGAAGGTGGGAAAAAAGTCCATTATTTCCACAAATCTCCTCCCAAACTGTGACTCTGGCTGCTCTGTTTCTCAGTCCCAGGCCTCTCCCAAGCAGAAGGTCTGACCAAATGATGTTTGGTGCTGTGATACAGACAGAAATCCAAGAGGCTCCAGAAGGAATACACACTCCTTGCTGACTTCCCTGAGCTGCTTTGACTTATTATCTGACCTGGATCTAAATTGGGTTTTGATTAAAGTCAAGAATAATTCTACTTGGGGAAACCTCATTGTTTAGGCTCAGAGTTAGCAAAAGCTACAAGAGAATTAAATCAGATTCCTCGCTTTGGGCACAGAGACCCTGATGGGACCCCTGGCAGTGCCCAGTGCCCACTGTGAGAGGCAGCCATGCTGGGCCATGTCACCCAGAACCTGACCAAGCTCTTTTTCACAGCCACCAGGTCACAGGTCACTCCTGTGGACCCTGATGGCTCCAATGCTTGGTCAGCATCTCCCTGTTTCAGACACAGGGATGTTCATGGTCTGTTCATTCTTACTCATCTTGCCCTAAGGTGGTGCCAGGGCTTAGCCCATGTCCCTCCCTGGTGTCTATCTCTGGTTTTCCACAAATGTGTCTTCTCTCAGCATCCATTTCTCAGAGATCAGGAAGCTGAGTCATCTCTGTAAGACACTCTCCTCTCTCCTGAACAATCCAGCAAACTCTTCCTGCACTAGTTTTAGACTAAATTCTCCCAGTGTGGCTCCCCAGAACCAGGTGGCTGTCCAAAGTGTTGCCAGAGCCCTGATACTTCTCTGTGCCTCCCTTGAAATGAGTCTCCCAAGACAACTTGGGACCACTTCCCTTTTCCATCCTGCTGGTGGATCACAGCTACCCAGCTGGTGGATCACAGGTGTCCCCTTGGTGGATCACAGATTTCCCACCCAGCCTTGGGCAGGTGAGCATCTCAGATACAGACAGAGACATCTCCCTTTGTGTTTGGTGGGAAGAATAAGGCAGTTCCAGTGAGCAATCAATCTCACTCCACAGGGAGTGCTCAGAGGATGGGCATGAATGGTTTCTGTGGGTGCCCATGGTCTCACACTGACTGTAGAGACAGCTGAGACACCCAGGTACCACTGGCTGTCCAGCTGTGAATGCAAAGTTACCAGTGCCAAACCATCATCTGTGGTGATGCCATAAGTAGCTCAATATTCCCTGTCCCTCCCCAAGGAAGCACTCCTGGATGCCAGCAGAAGGGGTGGTTATTAACGCCTGAGTTCCCTCTGTGTGGCTTGGCACTCAATGATGTCTAAGGATGGTTGGGTGCTGTCGTGCCCACCCCTCTGCCTGGCTCTGATCCTCCCAGCAGCTCTCAGGGGCAGCCAGTAAATAGTTCCAGTTTTGGCTCTACTCAAGCACGAGTCCAGATGCTGACCAGCAAGACCAGGTGTCCAAGGCCAGGCTGGACAGGGCTTGGAGCAACCTGGTCTAGTGGAAGGTGCCCCTGCCCAGGGCAAGGTGTTGGTACAAGATGGTCTTTAAGGTCCCTTCCAACCCAAACCATTGCATGTTTCTATGATCACTGGAATATTTCATGGGACATCTCTGGCAGCATGGCAGGATTTCTTCCCATCTTGTATGTTGTTCAGACTTCAGTAAGTCCCAACTGCTTTGCTCTGTGAATGTCCAATTCCTGGTCCAGCTGAGTATTTTTGTCAGAAGACCAAAAATTTATTTAGAACAAAACACAACTTGTAAGAAATTAGAAAGGCACCTAAAAGAAGAAAGGGCAGCAGAGTGCTGAGATAAAACCCAAATCCAACTATTTTTTTTTAATGCAGTATAAATAGCAATGGACCTGGAGTTCACCACATTTGTCTATAAAAAAGCCATCAGCAGAAACCCTGTGCTGAACACACCCAGTACCTGCCAGCCTGAACCAACAGCTGGAGGTCCAGTGCCACCAAACAATTCCACTTTCTTCTTCCCCTACTTTTAAGGACAAGAGAGCCTCAACATCATGCATTCTAATCTGGAGTGTCATGAGACTGCTCATGCAGTGCAAGTTAAACCCTCATTGAATCCAGGCTGGATTTGATCTAAAACACTGATCTGATCCTTCAGGCCAGGTGGGAATGGTCTGCCCTGAATCCTCACTCAGAGGACATCAGTTCTTGGTGTGACTGGCCTTGCATCCACAAACTGGGGAAACTCATGTCCATGCTCACCAGAGAGGGACCCTCTGCATTGCTTTGTAAGTGACCCCAAACCTTCCAAATGTTGGGCTGAGGTAGGAGGAGACTTTTGCCCCTGTGGTGCTGGCAGAGGACATTGTCTTTGCACCTCAGCAGCTCAACAGCAAGGTGGGGAATTCAGTGGTGACCTCAGTGAGAAAGTCTGGTCATGGTGAAAAATGCAGCATCACTTCTGGGTGGACCAACTCCTCAGCAGAAGCAAAATGTTCTTTTACTCCCTTCCTTGCTCAACATTTCCTCCAAAGTGGTTGGACTCCACAAATGGGATTTACCTTGGCTCTCCTGACCACCCAATGGTCCCCACATCCCTCACAATGCTGATTAAAGTTCTCATGGCATCACCCATAGGCTCCCCTGTGCCAGCCAGCTCTGAACAACAGCTCAGCCAGTCACTGCTTTGTTTGGGACAAGTGTATGCCCAAATAGACTGGGGGCTAGAGCAGGTTGAGAGCTGAGCCTGACTTTATCCACAGGTTCATTGCAAGGAAGTTGTCCACTGAACACAAATTCTGCAGAACATCCTTTTCTTCTCTTCCATTTCCATCCACTCACTGCTCCTCACAGCCACCTCTGGAAAAAGCCACGCTTCCATGGCTGCTGAGGCTCCAGAGGATGTCCATCCTGTTTGTAGTGGTCATCAGAAATACTGCAGCACACCAGTGAGTTCCTGTAGGCATCCTGCACAACGTGCCTGGGGTTGAAAATCCACAACACAGAAAACCCTCTGGGCTGCCCAGGTCCCTCTCCAATGGCACCAAGTTGGGCCCAGAGAAAACTGGATGGTGCACTTAAAGTTTTTTGAGAGTTGTCCACACATTCAGTGGGATATGGACAGTCAACATGATCTACCCTGGCACATTGCAACAAGCAATGCCAATGCTCCAGTGTCATGGACATCTCCTGTTTCACCATGGCCAGCCCATGGCTCAGCTCCTGCACCATTCCATTCTCACCTCAACATCTTTTGGATGGGCACCATGTGACTGGCACAGGGCAAGGGACAGTGAAGAAAATTGCTCTTCAGCCATCAAGTGCTCTCATCTTCTCCTATCTCCAGCCTTGGCACATGGCACTGCTGCTGGCTGTGCCCTCGCTGCTCTGATGCCACACCCAGCACCTCCAGCACTGGCCTCAGAGAACCCCCTGACACATCAAATTCCCCTTCCAGGTTCCAACAGACTCCCTGCTCCTGCTCCTACATCCTTCTGCCAGCCCTACAACTGCTGACCATGCAGGCAGCCCTGGCATGGACCCCTACTGTGCCCCTCACTTGGGATGGAGCCAGTGTGTGGCACTGCCAGGTGGGCATGGAGCACATGTGTGGCACCAATGGGCAGACATGTGGGACCACACGTATGGCATTGATGGACAGACAGAAAACACAGGTATGGCAGTGATGGACAGACTGGGAGCATGCAGGTCACTGATGGACAGGGAGCACAGCTATGGGACAGATGGACAGATGGAACACACATGTGGCACTGAAGGACAGACTTGAGACCACATGTGTGGCAGTGATGGACAGACAAGGAACTGGTGTGGTGGCACCAACAGAGACGAGAAGCAGAAACGTGGCACTGTTAACTGAGCATGGAGCACAGATGTGGCACTAATGGACAGAGCAGGAGCACATATGTGGCATTGATGGACAGACAAGGAACACATATGACACCAACAGACAGAAGAAGAGCACACATGTGACACTGCTGAGTGCGTATGGAACATGCATGTGGCACTGATGGACAGACCAGGAGCACACGTACGGCACTGACGGACAAA